ACAAAAATATTAATCATATGAGAAATGATTAATTGATTAAATTAATACCGATTAATTATATTGTGTGTCGGACCCTAAAGAAAATGGGGAGGGACTAACTAGTATATTCTTGGACCACGTTAAATTAGTTAAAAGCCCAAGGATAAGGAAATAAGTTATATATGAATGTTTGGGCCGGATAAAAGGTAAAGGAATAAAATAAAGGGACTTTTTGAGCCATTTTCTAATAATAGAAAGGTAAAGGGGTTTAAGCCCGGAACATTGGAGAGGAATATCCAATACATTTTAGGATCGATCTATTGAGGTCTACTAGCCTAAAATAATATAAGTAAACGAATAAAAGTCATTTGGGTCGGAGTAAATTAAAAGGAGCAGCCCGCGAACCCAACCCAACAAAATTGGCCCAACCTTCTAAAAATAGAAGATAAGGGAGGAGAGTCTCCTTATCCTCTCATTTTGAGAAGCCTCCTACGCCACTTAGAGAGGGAAGAGAGATCACAAGGAACTTCACACGTTCTTGGAGCAAGGAAGGAGAAAGAAAGGGATTCCGGGAAGAAGAGAGCTCGTTTCTAGGTAACCGAATGCTATTCCCGTCCAACTAGTTATTTAATATATTTAGTGAATATGATTTTGAAGAAATCATATGTTGGATTAATTGGGATGTTCTACACGTTTAAAAGTGTAGAAATATGTTATAAAGTGTTGGTATTTAACTTAGAAGAGTTGTGGAATCGATATGAGTCGAAACCGCCGGAAACCGCCACTCCAAATGAGTTGTTCGTAGTTGCAGACTACGAACGTCGCCCGGATTTCGTGAAAGCCGCTCAGCTTTTGCCCAACAGTCCAGTCTTCCACTTTCAATCGGCCTAGAACGGGGATTGATCGAGGGGCTTAACAAAGGCAACTATTGTAGCACATCACGAGGTGAGGAATGAGGATGGCTGACTATATTGCTTATAATTAGTGAGTTAATTTCATAAGATTACTGATACGTTTGTAATTTCCATATGTATGTTTGTGTTTTTAATTAGTTTTGCTTGATCTTTACTTTGGAAATTACACACTTTTGGTGTAATAGTTTAGTTTGTTAAATTCTTGTAAATAGTTTAGATTAGGTATATTCTGAGCTCAAACAGGTCTTGATCACTCAAAGGACAATTGGTGTACCCCGAAAGTGGAAGGAAGGTGCAAAAATAAAAAAGAAAGAAGGATCCTGAAATTTTGGTCTATACTCGGTCGAGTATTACCTATACTCGATCGGGTATTAGGTTGAAACTTCAAATCGGATCAGATCCGAAGACAAGGGAACATGCCGGGAAGATTTCAGCCACGATTAAATGTCTATACCCGATCGGGTAGACCGACATACCCGATCGGGTATGCCTTTGAGATTTAAACGAAAATCGGTCGAGTATGGCTCGAATATCACTTTCTAAGCATACTCGACCGGGTATAAACATATACCCGATCGGGTATACTGATAAGTCCATTTTTGTACTTATTTTTGTTATCAAATTTAAGTGATTTTGGACTGAAAAACAGAAAAACAAGGCATGTTTTATATATTTTGGTTCATGTTTCGTGAAATCGGGTAAAAATCACATCCATGATATGTTTGATGAAATTTCGGGTCAATTTATCACAACATGCGTCAATTTGAGTAACAAATGATATCATACCGAAAAAAGGAAGCAGAATTTCAAAGTGGTCCAGAAGGGAAAGTTGAAGAGCACAAAATTCAGAACAAGACGGACAAAAAACCTCACAGGCGCCCAAATAGGCGCCCAGATTGGCCGCCTACCAGGCCGCCTACCAACTTTTGAAAAAAGTCAATTTTGATCAAGTTTGACCGGACCGGAGAAAAACGGAAGGCGGCCGACGCTGGACGGAAGGCGGCCGCCTTCGATGGCCGCCTGCGGCACAAGGCGACGAACCAACCACCGGCCGATGGGATTTGACGGCAGGCGGCCAGACAGGAACGGCAGGTGGCCGCCTGCTGGACCGCCTGCGGCGGACGAGTTGACCGGCGTCACGTCCTGCCGGTGACGTGACGGAAGGCGGCCGAGCCAGGACCAGAGGCGGCCGCCTATTTGGCCGCCTACCAGATTTTTTGTGCTATAAATACTCCGATTTTTGCTGAACTCAAGGACACCTCTTCCAACCCTAATTCAGTTCAAAAAGTTCATCTTCTTTGGCTATTTCCGCAGCTCCAAGGATTTTTGGGAGAGAGAAACTTCAAATCTTCATATCTTCTTCATTTTAGCTTCAAATTGTAAGTTCTTTATATGTATTTTCATCTTCTCAACGAGTAGAATCTGAATCTGTGCTTTGTTTTCTCGATCTGTTCTTCGAATTTTTCCAGAATAATTATCTAGTATTTCGCATTTTCTTCCATAAATTAAATAAAATAGTTGTTGATGTTGAATTCATTCCAATTAAGTATATAGTTGTTCACTAGCCTCAAGGTTGTTATTTATCTGAATAAAGTTAATTTTCACGAAGTGAAAGTATTTTTTAATTAATTTCGGTAATTAGGTGTTATTATTGCATAAATTAAATTAATTACACAAAAATAGAAAAAAATAGTCTCGGCCCTAATTCCAGTTTATTTCACTGTAATATCACCCCTAGTAGTCAACAAAAAATTTAGAACGAATTTAGCCTATTTTTAATTGCCTTTTGTATTTTATAGTTAAAAGTGGGAAAATTTTCAATTAGGGTTAAAATTGGATTTTAGATTTAAAAATTCGTGAAAAATTCCAAAAAGTCATATTGTAGTTCCAGAAAGTTTATTTTGACAATATCTTATTTTTGTTTAATTTGTTCTATTATACATGTTTAATTCCTTGTTAATGTTTAATTTATTTACCATATTGTTGAATGCAAAAATAATGTTTGGTAGCTAAATTTGTTTTGGGCATGAATTGAGTAAAGGAATATGGATTGACTTGTTAGCCGAAAATTAGGGGTTAAAATTAATTAATTGAGCTAGTTATTCAATTTGATGAATTAGTAATTAATAATTTTTAGTCAATTTCATTAATTAAATTTTGAAAAATTATTTCTAACTTGTCTATAAGATTAGAAAGTAATTTGAGCCAATCTTATTCAAGCACATTAATAAGGCCTAGAAATAGGATAATTTTAATGAAATGGATTTACATCTTGTCTATGAGAATTAAATTCAAATTGCTTAAATAATGAATTTAATTAGTTAATGAATTTGGCTATTTTTATTAATTAAAATTTTGGAGAATTATTTTTGCCTTGTCTATGAGATTAGAATTTAATTCAAGCCAACCATTTTTGAATACATTAATGAAACCTAGAAATAGGATAAATTAATGAAAGTAATTTCTATTCTTGTCTATGAGAAAAGAAATTATTAGTCCAATTGTTGTTTTAATTCCCCTAATTACTAGGTCCAAGAATATATCCATTTCCAATTACTCAATTCATTGCCCTTCTTTGATCAATCCATTTAGAGTTTAATATTTTTCATTTACTTTATTTTTGAACCATCATTAGATTTGCATAATTTAATTACTTTATTTTTCAAAAACTAGTTTAGAAAATCAATCAAAAATTTTAATTCGGAAAGCTTCCAATAATTTGCAATAACCTGTGACTGAATTTAAAATCAAGAAACTCCTCCGCCATTCCTCAAGAGACACGATACTCGGGGGAAAACCGAAAGGTTAGACTCCGTTTTACTACAACGCCGCGAAAGCGGTTATCAAATGGCGCCGTTAGCATGGGCGAATTCAAGTTAGGGAGACTTTCTATTTCTTTTTTTGTTTTGTTCTCACGTGTTTGCTTGAGATTTTCTCATGGATTACTCAAGCGAACACTTTCATTCTCATCCACCATATCACTATCCATATCATGAATAACAAGTTTTTCAAACTAATCAAAATGAAGGATATTATGAGCAAGGTTATGAGGATAACAATCAATGGTGCGAAAATCCACCTTTGGGGTATGGAGATTACCAATTTCAAGATAACTATTTCTATCAAGGTAATTATCATGATAATTTTAATTATTATGAAAATTACCACGAAGGGCTAGAAAATCATTACCCCGGCACAAACGAGTACTCCTACGAGGTTGACTCTGGAATTTCACCTTATCCTGAACACGAGCTCGAAAAATTAAAATCATCCTTGCTCGAGTTTAGGGAAGAATTAAAAAGGGCAAGATTTGAACTAGCATCTCGTGACGAGAGTATCAAGAAATTGTGTGAACAAATCATTTATGATAATGAACACAAATTTCAAGAGGAGATATACGAGGAAGGTGCTACATCTGAGGAGGAGACTGCTGTGACACTTCAAAAATTTAAATAAAAATAAAAATAATTTTTAATCAGATAAAATATTACGAAAATAACAATTTTAGAATTAATTGAGTCAGACAAAAATTCAACAGATGTGACATTTTAATCAGATAAAATTTTCAAAATTTATGACGTTTTAGTCAGATAAAAATACTTCAGTAATAAGAACAACATTTTGGTAAACAAGTGAACCAGACAGAAAATTTACATTTACGACATTTTTAGTCTGATAAAAATGGTCCGATAAATAAACTAAGTACGTATAATATATATATACTCCTATGATATATAAACTAAATACGTATATAATATAAAAACCTACGTAAGTATAATACTCCTAACTAACTACTTACTTATACTCCTAATAGATATATAAATACGTAATATTAATTATACTTATGCTACATAAGAATTACCTCCTAATTTTGTAAGTATAACCTTATACAAACTCTAAAATACACCCTAACTACCTGCTATGCGAATACTACGTACATCGTATATCTAACATATGAACCTGGCCATATCCATACTTAAGATACAACATGCGAAAAAAAAAACGAAAAAAAAAAAAAAATAAATACGTAGACTACATGAATAAGGAGACCTGTAGCTCATTCGGATAAAACTTCATATAATATATTAATATTATTATCTACACTTGCGAACCAATCGGATAATATTTCTCCAGCATAGGATCTTCCCCTTATCAGTATAAATACACACCCTTACCTGTGTTTCGTCCCGTTCAAAATAACAGCAGTGATATATACGTGTATATATATATATACACATATATACGAAGGCTATATATATACCAGATTTCGTCCCATCGTTATAATAAAATATGAGCCTTAAAAACACTTCACAAATCTTCCCCTTTGAGCGGGGAATCCAACGAATCAAGAAACGTTGAAAACGGTGGTCGGAAGAGGGAGATATCATTCACCGGAGTCTCGCCGGACTGGTTTTCACGGAGCAAAAATACAGAGAAGGACCAAACGTTAGGAAGCCACCGTTTTGTCTGGAGGAGAGGAAGTTGTGTCGCTACTTCCAAATCAGTCCGTTGCTTCTGAACGCCGCGGTTGCGCCTTGCTTGGTTCGCCGGTGCTGAGCTACGAAGAAGACACCGATTATGTACGCATACAGTTTCTTTTGTTCTCTCCCTTTGTTCTTTTCTAATTTGGGTCGGCTGGTTAGTTTTTTTTAACAAAAAAAAAAAGAAAAATGAGGAATGACTTTTTGGGATGTACGAAATTAATTGGGATGATTTTATAATATGAAGTAATGTAAAATAGAGTAAATGGAATTTATCTGATTGATTATTTGACCCGAATAATTGGAGTTAACGTGGATTAATTGAAATAAGTGGAGATGATTGGGTAATGAATTCTTAAAATTAAGTAAGGGAACTGGGTAAGGGCTAATTAAGAATTAGGATAATTATTAATTTAGAATTTTATATTCTTAGTTTTGGTGAAGATGTGGTAGAAGCGACCATTTGAGACTCTTGAGACTGAGGTAAGTTTCTCTGCCAATCCAAAATTGTTTCCTCGTATTATATGCTTATTATGCATTATGTGATTAAGTGTGAATTGTGAATTTTGTGTATGTGATTTTGAGAAGATATTATATATATGGTAGTTAAGAAGTATAAATCAAGTACTTTTGGGGTATTAAATATTTTTAAATACCTTTGAGACTTTTTAGAGAAATTAAGAAGTATTTTTGAAGTATTGTTAAGCAAAGATAAAATTTACATTTTCATAAGAAGATAGCATCTCGGGAGTAATCCGAGGTGTCGGTTTTTCCACATCCGGATAAATGTGGAGGGTGATTAGAGCTACTACTACTAAGAAGCACAGTTTGGATCTATGATCCCTTTTAAGTAAGATTTGGATATATGATCCCTTTTAAGTAAGATTTGGATCTATGATCCCTTTTAAGTAAGATTTGGATCTATGATCCCTTTTAAGTGAGATTTGGATCTATGATCCCTTTTAAGAAGAAGTTATAGTAGTAGTCCCTAATCATTCAAGAATTTTAGAATTGGGGTGGTTGGGTTCCGACCACTCGGGATGACTTACTACTCGGAGGGCTTGGAATCCCTTTTAGGGGGTGTGCACACTTAAGGTAGTCGTTTCGTTTCCAACAGAGCAGTCGTGGTACCGGCACTTGTTCGGGGTGGCCGTCCGTAACCACGGTCCACCGGGCTCTATCGAAAGGTTGAGCACCGCCCTTCTAAATTACTAGGAAGTTAGAGAAGAAGTGTTTTTTTTAGAAGTTTAAAAAGAAGAGTTACTAAGAGATTTTCCAAGAGAAGTTTCAGATTTTAGCAAAGAAGTGATTTTAAGAAAAATCAAAGAGAAAAGTATTTTGGAAGAGTGCGTCATTTTTATATGATATTATATAAAAATCTATTTTTAGTCAAACCTGATTATTTTACGGGGTTGGGTAGTACTTACTTAGCTCTAAAGCTAATTTTTGTTATTTTTCTTGTCTCTCTCTTCTCCCTTAAATTTTATCAGGTGATGAGTTGGATACCTATGTGGATTGACGGATTGCTCGAGCTTGAGTGCGAATTAGAAGATGCCTTAGTTAAATCTAGTCATAAAACAAACCTTTACTTATTATTACATTAGTTTTTATTGTTTTACTTTGAGTTGCCTGTGCATTCGGTTAAGAGATGACCGAATGTGGCGGTAACACTCATTTCCCTTTTAGACTTCCACTGTATTTCTTCAACTCTTTGATGAATGAATAAAGTATTTCTTTTAAATATATCAATGTTTTGGGCGGGAAATTTAGGGGTGTTACAACTGCGGTAACTATGAGCGAGACGGTTGAAACTCTTTGCACCCCTATTTCTTTTGAGTCTCTCATTGCTACTGACCTAGATCCTGTCCTCATAGAAATTAGTCCTGAAGAACTCAATCTAGAAGTGCCCACGGGAGTTTATGAAGAGACCATAGATGAGGAGATACTTTGTGACACCGGCCTTACCCTACCATCTATGGATGATTTCTCACCTAAAGAGTCCTTGAAAGATAACCTTGACGAAGCTGGTGATCCTACACGAGCCCAAGTGCCTGATCAAGTAGTTGATGAAACATGTGATATTGAGGAAACATTCTCCGATGACGCCTTCTTTGACTCTCTACTCAATGATGACGAACATAGTTGTTCTAGGCAAGGATCTGTTTGCCTAGATGATATATGTGGGGTTAGTGAGTTAGGAAGTTGGGATGCATTCTTAGAAAGTGACACAGAGTCTAAACTTTGTGATTTTCATGTTGAGTGCATAGATGAGGAGTATGAAATCTCTAGTCAGGCTACTTTTACCTTGATGACTCCATTTGAGCGGTTAGAGAAACCAGAGACACCTGATCTTGAAATACTTGTTGATTCTACTAATGAGGGTGATACGAGATATGTGCTAATCCCTAGTTCGAACGACTTGTTCTTTGAAGATTATATCACATTTCGGTGGTCACGAGAGTTCGAAGGTCTACGCCATCTGACAGCATACCTGGAGGACAAGGTGGAGGCACTAATGATGAGTGCTCCACGACTGATTAGCATTACAAAGAGTTCTCTCTCAATTGTCAAGCTAGTGACGTTAAAGAAGCGCTCATTGGAAGGCAACCCAAAAAAAAAACTAACCTTAAAAAAATGTTATTTTGATTTTTGCAGATGTCTGGAGGAGGAAGCGATGATCCGATCTTTCAGGAGCCACCACTGGCTAGGCATGACCCATTGCACATACCAGATATCCCATTCGCTACTGATGCTGACCGCACACGCTTCCAGACGTGGGGGCAGTACCGCACTCTTCTAGCTCCCATGATCCTGGATCAGAGGATGCTCGAGGAATGGGGATACTGGGCCGACATTGATGCTCTACTAGGAGATTCCTTGTGGCGTGGGATTCTATCCATACAGGAGAGAGCCAGCTTCCCATTGACGATGGAGTTCCTATGCTCTCTACGCTTCACTCACTACGGCCACACTATGCACACAGGATCTGTCATTAGGCCGGCGACTCAGATGAGATTCACTATCATGGGCATCGAGCACTCCATCACTGTGGCTGAGCTCGGATGGAGGATTGGGCTCTATGCTCCTGCATATACACAGACAGACGAGTTCTGTGCTCTCCCGACACGTTTACCTGAGGCATTTGATATTGATGAGTTCTGGCACAGGCACTCCACAGACACCAGACCGTTCCTCCGCATGCACCCCCAGTCGAGCCGGTGGAGGCAGACTCACTGGTATATACTCTCCTTTGTACTCTCTTGTGGTTTTTTTGGACGACCTAACAACACGAACAGGTTGTCCAAAAAGGACATCCTATTCTTTTGAAGTCTGGTTCACCGCACCCCGGTGAATATGACAGTCCTCTTGGCTCGTTTCTTCCGGAGTCAGGGGAAGAGTGTTCGCCGCACGATCCAGGCAGGGCCCTTCGTCACTACTCTCGTCCGGTCTTTCTATCCTGAGCTAGACATTCCAGATCTACTCCCAGTACAAGATAGCATTCGCATTCTTAGATCCTCATCCCTTGGGAACATGAGGATCAAGAAGAAGCGAAATACTCAGGAGCTGCCGGGCATTGAGCAGTCGACACAGCAGAGTAGCTCTTCTCGAGCCCCACCACACAGGAGACCCGGTGAGCCAGCCTCGGACATGCCTAGTGCCTCAGATTGGAGTGCGATGATGGACGCGATGAGGGGTCTTCAGACCTCATTCGTAGATTTTCAGGGTGCACAGGAGAGAGCATTTCGGGAGATGCGAGAGGCACATGCGTCGGCCCTGGGAGAGTTCAGAGATTATAGACTGGCACAGGAGGGAGCCAACAGGGATATTCTGGAGCAGCTAGAGACCCAGCGACTGGATAATGAGGAGATACGAGAGTGGCTGCGGCCTAGTCATGGATCACGAGATGACACAGGCGATGCCTAGATTTGCTTCTTCCTTGACATTTATTTTTGTTTGTTTGTTTATTCAGGATTGGACATTGCACTGCTCTTTTGACTTGAATGCTCTCACAAACTAGCTATGGATGGTGTAAGAATTTTTAAAACATTTTTATTCCTGTTTTCATTATTCCTCTTCACAAAATCTTTTCAAAACTCAAGTGTGAGGAAAGAACAAAAAAAAAGTGCCTTTATTTCTAAACTTTGTGCAGACCTCGAAGGCGAGGCCCAGCTCAAGTGTGAGGAGGTTGCGTTTTACACTCAAAAAGTTAAAACCTTGTTTTAGATCAATCTTTTTACTATTTTTGATATGAAACATTCACCTCTCAATTGTTATCAATCACATAATATCTTAGAGGATCACCCTTATTATAAGAATTTACTTTTATTATTATTTTTAGAAAACTTGAAATTGTTATGGGTTTTGGTTGCGAATGTAAATGGCTAATTTTGTTTTAATAGGACATTCATTTTATTCATAAAAAAAATACTAGTATTAATAAATCTCTTCAAAACTCATTGTTAAAGGACAATTCCATCTCCGAAAAGGGGCTCTGTTTCATTCGTTAATCATAGTCTGTGAGAATGAAATATGCATCTACCGTGGGATAACACCGCCAACAAGAGTGGACAAGAGGCAAAAAAAAAATTGTGAATAAGATAAATGTCCAAATTAGAATAATGAAAACCTTGGGATAAGGAATTGATTGGTGGTTTAACATAATCAATAGTTTCTTTAGTAATAATAATTTTAAATTCTTGTATTTTGGGTGATTTTTCTAAAATGTTTAAAAATTGACAATAAAAAAGGGAGATTTTTGTTTCTATTTCTTTAATAGCAATTCGATTGTGATTCAGTCAGGTTTACCCTTTTTGAGTGTGTGTGCAACTAATTTGTCGCTTGAGGACAAGCAACGCTTAAGTGTGAGGAGATTGATAAGTCCATTTTTGTACTTATTTTTCTTATCAAATTTAAGTGATCTTGGACTGAAAAACAGAAAAACAAGGCATGTTTTATATATTTTGGTTCAAGTTTCGTGAAATCGGGTAAAAATCACATACATGATATGTTTGATGAAATTTCGGGTCAATTTAGCACAACATGCGTCAATTTGAGTAACAAATGATATCATACCGAAAAAAGAAAGCAGAATTTCAAAGTGGTCCAGAAGGGAAAATTGAAGAGCACAAAATTCAGAACAAGACGGACAAAACACTTCACAGGCGCCCAAATAGGCGCCCAGATTGGCCGCCTACCAGGCCGCCTACCAACTTTTGAAAAAAGTCAATTTTGATCAAGTTTGACCGGACCGGAGAAAAACGGAAGGCGGCCGACGCTGGACGGAAGGCGGCCGCCTTCGATGGCCGCCTACGGCACAAGGCGACGAACCAACCACCGGCCGGTGGGATTTGACGACAGGCGGCCAGACAGGAACGGCAGGCGGCCGCCTGCTGGACCGCCTGCGGCGGACGAGTTGACCGGCGTCACGTCCTGCCGGTGACGTGACGAAAGGCGGCCGGGCCAGGACCAGTGGCGGCCGCCTATTTGGCCGCCTACCAGATTTTTTGTGCTATAAATACCCCGATTTTTGCGGAACTCAAGGACACCTCTTCCAACCCTAATTCAGTTCAAAAAGTTCCTGTTCTTTGGCTATTTCCGCAGTTCCAAGGATTTTTGGGAGAGAGAAACTTCAAATCTTCATATCTTCTTCATTTTAGCTTCAAATTGTAAGTTCTTTATATGTATTTTCATCTTCTCAACGATTAGAATCTGAATCTGTGCTTTGTTTTCTCGATCTGTTCTTCGAATATTTCCAGAATAATTATCTAGTACTTCGCATTTTCTTCCATAAATTAAATAAAATAGTTGTTGATGTTGAATTCATTCCAATTAATTATATAGTTGTTCACTAGCCTCAAGGTTGTTATTTATCTGAATAAAGTTAATTTTCACGAAGTGCAAGTATTTTTTAATTAATTTCGGTAATTAGGTGTTATTATTGCATAAATTAAATTAATTACACAAAAATAGAAAAAAAAATAGTCTCGTCCCTAATTCCAGTTTATTTCACTGTAATATCACCCCTAGTAGTCAAAAAAAAATTTAGAACGAATTTAGCCTATTTTTAATTGCCTTTTGTATTTTATAGTTAAAAGTGGGAAAATTTTCAATTAGGGTTAAAATTAGATTTTAGGTTTAAAAATTCGTGAAAAATTCCAAAAAGTCATATTGTAGTTCCAGAAAGTTTTGTTTGACAATATCTTATTTTTGTTTAATTTTTGCTATTATACATGTTTAATTCCTTGTTAATGTTTAATTTATTTACCATATTGTTGAATGCAAAAATAATGTTTAGTAGCTAAATTTGTTTTGGGCATGAATTGAGTAAAGGAATATGGATTGACTTGTTAGCCGAAAATTAGGGGTTAAAATTAATTAATTGAGCTAGTTATTCAATTTGATGAATTAGTAATTAATAATTTTTAGCCAATTTCATTAATTAAATTTTGGAAAATTATATCTAAATTGTCTATAAGATTAGAAAGTAATTTGAGTCAACCTTATTCAAGCACATTAATAAGGCCTAGAAATAGGATAATTTTAATGAAATGGATTTACATCTTGTCTATGAGAATTAAATTCAAATTGTTTAAATAATGAATTTAATTAGTTAATGAATTTGGCTATTTTTTTAATTAAAATTTTGGAGAATTATTTCTGCCTTGTCTATGAGATTAGAATTTAGTTCAAGCCAACCATTTTTGAATACATTAATGAAACCTAGAAATAGGATAAATTAATGAAAGTAATTTCTATTCTTGTCTATGAGAAAAGAAATTATTAGTCCAATTGTTGTTTTAATTCCCCTAATTACTAGGTCCAAGAATATATCCATTTCCAATTACTCAATTCATTACCCTTCTTTGATCAATCCATTTAGAGTTTAATATTTTTCATTTAGTTTATTTTTGAGCCATCATTAGATTTGCATAATTTAATTACTTTATTTTTCAAAAACTAGTTTAGAAAATCAATCAAAAGTTTTAATTCGGAAAGCTTCCAATAATTTGCGATAACCTGTGACTGAATTTAAAATCAAGAAACTCCTCCGCCATTCCTCAAGAGACACGATACTCGGGGAAAAACCGAAAGATTAGACTCCGTTTTACTACAACGCCGCGAAAGCGGTTATCATATACCTTTGGAAAATAGCCTGAAACCGATCGAGTATACCTCGAATCGGGTATTACACACATACTCGATCGGGTACCATGTATATACCCGATCGAGTACCCGAATCCCATCCCAAAAGCCTATAAATACACTCCCTTTCCATCACAAATGATCATCCAATTCTTTTGTACATCCAAGCTCAGTATAAAATAGTTCTTTCTTTATATTTTTCATCATGTTTAGTCTCCAAATGAGGAGCTAAACTCTTCCATCTTGGTTTTGCTACTTTGAAGCTTAATGAATTTGTAAGTTGTGAGTTATTTTCTTTAATCTTCTTCCTTGAGTATTAATTAATTCCTATTCATATTTCATGTCAATATTTTAAACATTACTTAAAGTATCAACTAGTTTTGTTTCTCATATTAATTATTACTAGAATCAATCGGTTAATACGCTTGTTATTAATCCGGTTCTTTCAACGGTAGTAAACTTGGATTATTAATGCATGCATCTCATGGTTAATATGCCAAGGGGAATTAATTATATTGATTAAACCAATAAACCGCTTGTGTTGAGGTTATCAATCTCAATCATTTTCATCTTAAGTTTATTGCTACTATCAAGTTAATATAAGGCGCTTGTTCTATATTGACTCGATAGTAAGTTTTATTAATGAACGCATCTCGTTATTAATAACTACCCTCGATGAACTGGATATACTCCTCGATTGAGTATTCGAGAGGAAGATAGTCAAAAATATAACCGGGATCGACGAACATTTTATTAAGCGGATAAAAGCAAAACCAAGCCACTACATCTATTAATCAAACTCATATAGGTTGTTTATCTTAGTGTTAATTGAATTAAATCAAATCAAACTTAAAACCCCCCTTGTTACTATTTATATAGAAGAAAAGTATTCCTTTCCCCGTGGATACGAACCTTACTTCACTATACTACGTATTAGTGTTGTATTGATAAATTATTTTGAGTGCACCTCACGACAAGGGCACGTCAAATTTGGCGCCGTTGCCGGGGAAAGGCAATTAATTTTTCTTTTATTTCATTTCAAGAAAAAATCAAAAAAATATTAAACAAAAATATAAAGAGTGTTTATTTTTCTATTTCTGAGCTTTGAGTATATGGTTAAACACCGATCTATAAACCAAATCACCTACCAAACAAAGCCCGAAACAGAACAAGCCTTCGAAAGGTTTAGGAATTTATTTCCGAATACTTCTTCGGAGGAATCATCAAGTGCTAGTTCTCATTCTAGCGACACCGAAGAGCCAATCACTATGACTCTTGAAACAAGAACGCTGAGGGAGCTCACAGCTCCAAACTTGAATCAACAACCACTGTGTATTACCTTCCCTACACTTGATGAGGGTAATACGTTTGAGCTAAAATCTGGGCTCATTCATCTGCTTCCATCCTTCCATGGCCTGAGAGGAGAGGATCCGAACAAACACCTCTTAGAGTTCCACGTCGTTTGCACAAGCATGTGTCCAAACGATGTGACAGAAGAACAGATCAAAGTGCGGGCGTTTCCATTTTCTCTAAAGGATACCGCAAAGGATTGGCTATTCTATCTTCCTTCAGGAAGTATAGGTACATGGGCGGCCATGAAGAAAGCTTTCCTAGAAAGGTATTACCCTGCCTCTGTCTCCTCCTCTCTTAAAAAGCAAATTAGCAACGTGGAGCAAAAGGATGATGAATCGTTCTACGAATATTGGGAACGATTCAAGAAACTGTGTGCAAGATGTCCATATCACGGCTATTCGGAGCAAGACCTCATCTTATACTTCTATGATGGTCTTTGCAATGAAGATAGGCGGATGATAAACGCCGCATGTGGAGGGGGAATTGTCAACAAGACTCCTTCTCAAGCTATAAACCTTATCTCGGAATTGGCCGAGAATTGTAGACACTATGATCGGCGGTCATCAAAACGAGTTATGGCGGCAGAATCCAAAAACTCGTTGGAAAGTCAAGTAGCCGGCTTGACTTCTTTGGTTAAAGATTTTCTCTTAAATCCAAAAACTCAAGAAGTCAAGGTCTGCGGCATATGCTCGACACAAGGGAACCCCACCGACTCTTGCCCAACACTACAAGAGGAGAACTCCGAACAAGTCAATGCTTTGGGGTTTCAAAATCAAAAGAGGTATAACCCTCAAAGCAACACCTATAATCCGGTATGGAGGGATCGTCCTAATTTAAGGTACGAAAACTCTCAATCTCCTCAACCATCAAATCTTCCCCCTCAACAATATAAACAACAAAGCCAAACTTCGAACTCGAACATGTCCACCGAAGACATGATTCGATCACTTGCCATGAATATGGCAACGATGCAACAAAGTGTGGTCCAATTTCAAGAAACAACAAAATCCAGCATCCACAACTTGGAAAGCCAAATCAGCCAAATCTCAAATGCCGTGAGTAGGCTTGAAGCTAAGGATTCGGCAAGGCTACCATCTCAAACGGAGCCGAATCCTAGACAACAAGCCCATGCAGTCACATTAAGGAGTGGCAAGGAGTTGGTTATTGCCAAGGAGAAGGCAAGGAGCCACATTGGCGAAGAGGAGGAAGAAGAGGAGCTGGTGGAAGTAACTCAACCGGAGGTGGAAGTTCAAATCTCAACCCCACCACTGGTCATCCCCGAGATTGAAGCACCCTTCCCCGAGGCTTTAAGGGAAACACGAAAGCTTGAGAAGGACAAGGACATCTATGAGACATTCTCCAAATGTGAGGTAAATATTCCTCTCCTTAACTTGATAAAGGGTGTACCTAGATTTGAAAAAATTTTCAAAGAACTATGTACAATAAAAAGGAAACATAGACTCAATGGAAAACAAAAAGTCCAAGTTAGTGAACGTGTTTCGGCAGTTTTTCAAAAGAAACTCCCAAAGAAATACAATGATCCGGGCATGTTCACTATACCTTGTAAGTTGGGAGGAACTACGTTTTCAAAAGCCATGCTCGATTTAGGAGCATCAATTAATGTCATTCCATACTCATTATACAAATCGCTTGAGCTTGGCCCTCTAAATGAAACCGGAGTAGTCATTCAACTTGCGGATAGATCAAATGCTTACCCTAAAGGTATTGTCGAAGATGTACTAGTTATGGTTGACAATTTGATTTTCCCTGCTGACTTTTATGTTTTGGAAATGGAGAATGATAAGAATGCGGTTCCTATCCTCTTAGGAAGGCCATTTTTAAAAACCGCTAGAGCAAAGATTGACGTATTTAACGGCTCTTTAACAATGGAATTTGATGGAGATAAAGTTGAATTCAACATTTATGACTCCATGAAATATCCAAATGAAAATCATTCTTTATTTGCCATTGATATTGTTGACCCTCTTGTACAAAATACTTTTGAATTTAATGGAGAGGACGAATTGTTGAGTATACTTGAGAATGACTTCGGGGAAAACTCTTTAGAACTTGCCTTGACTCCCAACACACAAGCTATGATAGTGGAATTGGATACTCACTTCCAACTCCCACTTATGCCACCGGGGTCGAGGGCATTTCCACTAACCATCCCCGAAGAAAAGTCTTTGCCTTCAGTTTTGCAGGCATCCGAAGTTGAGATGAAACCACTCCCAAAACACTTGAAATATGTGTTCTTGGGGGAAAACGAGACACTACCGGTCATTATCTCAAACAAATTGACCGTGGAGCAAGAAGGCAAATTGATAGCGGTGCTCAAGGAGCATAAACTAGCAATTGGATGGAGTATAGCCGACATCAAAGGCATTAGTCCATCTACATGCATGCATCGCATCTTGATGGAGGATGAAGCCAAGCCGGTGCGACAGCCGCAACGAAGACTAAACCCACCTATGATGGAGGTGGTCAAAAAGGAGGTGATCAAGTTACTCCAAATGGGGATAATCTTCCCCATTTCCGACAGCAAGTGGGTTAGTCCAACCCAAGTGGTTCCGAAGAAGACCGGAGTCACGGTGGTGGAGAACAAACATGGAGAACTTATGCCCACCCGAATTCAAAATGGATGGAGGGTATGTATAGACTACCGTAGACTCAATGCGGTAACTAGAAAGGATTTCTTTCCTTTACCCTTCATTGACCAAATGCTTAAGAGACTTGCCAGGCATAAGTTCTATTGTTTTCTTGATGGCTACTCCGGGTACTTTCAAGTACCTATAGCCCCTGAAGATCAAGAGAAGACCACTTTCACTTGTCCATTTGGCACCTTTGCATACCGACACATGCCATTCGGACTTTGCAATGCCCCAACCACATTCCAACGATGCATGATGAGCATATTCTCTGAATATGTTGAGCTATTTATGGAAGTCTTTATGGATGATTTTACAATCCATGGAGACTCATTTGATTCATGCCTACTCCATCTATCTCTTGTTTTGAAAAGTTGTTTAGAATCAAATCTTGTTCTAAACTCTGAAAAATATCACTTTATGATGGAGGAAGGAATTGTCCTAGGCCATGTGATCTCGTCCAAAGGAATCGAGGTGGACAAAGCAAAAGTGGAAGTCATCCAATCACTACCTTATCCTACCACCGTTAAGGAGATAAGATCATTTCTTGGACATGCAGGTTTCTATCGGAGGTTTATCAAAGATTTCTCAAAGATTGCATCTCCTTTATGCACACTTTTGCAAAAGGAGGTGGAGTTCATTTTTTCCGAGGACTGCAAGAAGGCCTTCAATACTTTGAAGGAGAAGCTAGTAACCGCACCTATCATCCAAGCCCCGGATTGGTCTCTTCCCTTTGAGATCATGTGTGATGCTAGTGACTATGCGGTCGGGGCCGTTTTGGGCCAAAAGGTGGGAAGAGCATCTCATGTGATCTATTATGCATCCACCACACTCAATGATGCCCAACGCAACTATGCCACCACCGAAAAAGAAATGTTGGCCGTCATTTATGCGCTTAAAAAATTTAGGTCATATTTACTTGGTACCAAGGTGATCATTTACACCGATCATGCGGCTATTAGGTTCTTGATGACAAAGAAGGAGGCCAAACCGCGACTGATTAGATGGATACTACTCCTGAGCGAGTTTGATGTTGAGATCAAGGACAAGAAAGGCATGGAGAACTTGGTGACCGATCACTTGAGCCGTTTGGTCCTTGATGAAGGAAACAATCATGCCAAAGACGATATCCGAGGGGAATTTCCCGATGAGACCCTCTTCTCTCTTAAGGAAATTCGTCCTTGGTACGCTCATATTGTTAATTTCCTTGTTCTAAACAGGTTTCCACCAAGCTTCTCTAAAGCTCAAAGAGAGAAACTCTAGCATGATGCAAAGCAATACGTATGGGATGAACCATACTTATGGAAACATTGCAAAGATAGAGTCATTCGAAGGTGCATTCCCGAAACAGAAATTGCATCCATTCTTGCTTTTTGTCACTCACATGCATGTGGTGGCCACTTTGGAGGGAAATGAACATCCATGAAGGTACTTGAATGTGGTTTTTGGTGGCCAAGCTTATTTCGAGATGCCCATGTCTATTGTCAATCTTGTGATAATTGCCAACGCATGGGCAACATCTCTCGAAAACATGAGATGCCACAAGTTCCTATGCTCTACGTGGAGATCTTTGATGTGTGGGGAATAGATTTTATGGGACCTTTTCCTAATTCCCATGGAAATCTATATATTCTCTTGGCGGTAGACTACGTATCCAAGTGGGTGGAAGCAAAAGCCACAAAGAGCGATGATGCCAAAGTGGTGACTGAATTCCTCAAAACCTGCATCTTCTCAAGGTTTGGAGTCCCACGCATCTTGATAAGCGATAGAGGCACTCACTTCTACAACAAAACTGTGAGTGCCTTGTTGAAGAAATATGGCATCACACATAAACTCTCCACCGCCTACCACCCACAGACAAACGGTCAAGCCGAGGTATCAAACAGAGAGCTGAAGTCTATACTTCAAAAGACAGTAAATCCAAACCATAAGGATTGGAGCCTACGCATGGATGATGCCTTATGGGCATACAGAACCGCTTTCAAGACCCCAATTGGAATGTCACCCTATAGACTCGTGTTCGGTAAGGCCTATCACCTTCCAGTCGAATTAGAACACAAGTCTTATTGGGCGGTAAAACCCTTCAATCTTGACATGGAAAAAGCGGGAGAGCAAAGGAGGCTGCAACTCCAAGAACTAGAGGAGCTTCGATTAGAGTCCTATGAGAATGCCGCCATCTACAAGAAGAAGGCGAAGGTATGGCATGATAAAATGATAATAAGAAAGGATTTCCAAGTTGGAGACAAAGTCCTTCTTTTTCTCTCACGCCTTCGCCTTTTCCCTGGGAAATTGAGATCACGATGGGAAGGACCATTCGAGGTGGTCAAAGTCTACGCCCATGGAGCAGTTGAAATAAAAAGCCTCGACACCGGAAAAATCCTCAAGGTTAACGGACATCAACTCAAACCGTTCCTTGAAGGTTTCCCAAAAGAAAACGTTGAATGCATGGATCTCATCGATCCAATCTTTGAAGAATGAACACAACCATGGCGTCGTGCCGCGACGTTAACTAAGGCGCTTCTTGGGAGGCAACCCAAGCAAGGTACGTTTTTTATTTTGTTGTTAATTCCCCTGTCAAAAATTTCAGTTTCTATTTTTGCGAGGTTGAGAGAGAGGGCACTAATCACAGGTTTTGGAAAAGAAAAAAAATGCAGGGTTTGAAGCATCTGGGGACATACCCGATCGAGTACCACCTTATACTCGGTCGGGTATGGCCAAAAGAAGGGGAACCGGGCATTACTCGATCGAAAAAGTATTCAATTTTTGAAAGAAAAAATGCATACTCGATCGGGTATCACTATATACCCGGTCGAGTATGCACAGAAAGTCGAAGTTCAAGGGAAACTGATGCCCACATTCGATCGAGTACAGGGCTCGAAAATTGAAAAACAAGGGATACCTGATCGGGTATCACTATACACCCGGTTGGGTATGTACAGAAAGGCTAAAGTTGAAGAAAGCTGATTCCCACACTCGATCGAGTACAGGCCTCAAAACGTGGAAAAGGACACATACCCGATCGAGTATTGTATTATACCCGATCGGGTACCGGAGGGAGACTACTCAAAAAAACCCAGTTTCCAGCCATACCCGACCGAGTAACAACACATACTCGATCGGGTATACGGGCGTTTTAACCCCAAAACCACCCCAAACACTTCATCTTCCCCAAATTCCAAAACCCAATTTCAAACCCCTCTCCTCAACCTCCATTTTTAACACTTCTCTCTATCATATCTTCTCCATGTCTTCAGCAAATCACCCCATTCCAACACCAAAATACTCCCCTCATCTTCCTCTACACACCCATACCCACCAATCCAACTTTCCCCCAGTTTCAAGAGGTCCGAAAAACCCTACCCCAACTTTCAATTTTTCGGATTTCAAGCTCAAAATCATCCAAAAATGGCACCAAGGAAGGAAAAAGGGCAGAGCTCCAACACTATGGCATCCATCTCAGGCTACGATCACATCATCTTCGCCAACAACGAACACCGAACCCGCTTCATCTCCACCATTGCAAGGCAAGTAAAACCCTCTCGTTTTTTATGCCATGATGCTCTCAATGAGTTAGGAGTGTATAAGAGCATTAGAAAATTTTTTCATGAGTTGAGCATGGATCGTGTATTCAAAATGCAATATCACTCTAATGAAAAAATAATCTATGAATTCATGAGTTCGGTGCAATTTGAGACCGATGAAGCTGATTTTAGGGATGATAAACTCAAGTTTCGTCTTTTTAACCGCAACCACTCCATAATGAAACTTGAGTTCGCCGAACATTTTGGTATTCCAGTCCCCTACCAAAAATCTATATCCGATAATACCGCTTTCGGCCATACCATGTGGACAAAGATGACCGGGGAGACTAAATTTAGCTCCTCCCAACTGTATATTAGTCATGTCCAACATCCCGTCCTCCGCTTATTCTTGAAATTCCTTGCCAATTGCTTGCTTGGACGTCCCAACAACCATCACACTAGGATGGGGGATGTATGCCTGATGTCTGTGACCCTATTCCGTGTTCATGTGGATTTCAATATGTGCAATCTTATGCGGGCACATCTGAAAAAGGAAAGCATAGCCAAGGGTGCTATTGTTGTGGGTGGGGTGATAATGCACTTAGCCACCAAGTTCGGGTATACAGATAACTCTCCTATACCCGACTATTGTTCGATGAACATATCTTGGTTGGGCCATTCGGGATGTACAGCCTTTTCCCACACTGTTTACGGTGGAGAGAGACCAAAAAATATGTACAACTGGCTCATACACCCCAAGCCTCTCAAATACTTCCTCCTACTCAACCAAGAAATCCCCAAACTGCGCTACAGAGAAACAGTAGAGGAGCCCCATTACCTCTTCACACACGCCCTTCCACCACATCTCCAAGAACCGGAGCAAGAGCCTCCCCAATACCAACCCGATTACAAACCCTGTGTTCATCCCCATGGCCATGAAGACATGAACAACGACATCCCCGAACAAAATCAAAACCCTCCACCACCCGACTTCTTTCAACAACTTTTGGAGGGTCAACAACAGTTTCTTACGGGGTACACTCAAATGAACGAGAACTACATGGCTATGGACAACCGGCTCAACCAAATACAGGAGGAGCAAAGGACCGGTTTTCAGCGATTGGAGGAGCTCCGGGAAGCCGATAGGCATTGGTATGAAGAAGACCAATGTAGGTTCTACGGACCTATGTACTCTTACATGGCACAACAGGGATCTTTTCATACCATGGCGAACCCCCCTCCACCACCCTCGTGGTATGACCCCACTCATTGGGGTAACTTTGGAGGATCTGACTCCGGGGTGGAGGGTACGACGGCGGAGATGGCGAGGACACATATATGGGAGATGGCGGGCAGGGGAGCGGCTTCGGAGGCAGCTACTACGGCGGAGAAGGCGGGCACTAGGGACAGTGCTTGATCCAAGTGCGGGGGAGAGACTCATCATGGTATGTAATTTTAATTTCCACCTAGCACTATGCATGTAATTCTTTTTGAACTTTTTACAACCACAAAAAAAGAGAATAAATAAAAGAAAAGAAATGCTAGTTAGGTTGAAAACCCAACAAAATGGGCAATCTAAGCAAAAAAGGCTTATAAAAAAATGAGTGAGTTGGGGAGAATGGAAAATGAAAAGAGATGCTAGGATGAAAACCTGAAAAGGCTCCTAGGCAAAATGAGAGATATGAGAGAAATGTTTGTTTTTGCAGGCACTCGTTGTATCTCTTTGAAGAATAAGAAGATTCAGAAAACAAAGAAGAAGAAGAAGAAGAGAGGAGGAGAAGAGAAGATGAACACTAGAAGGCCGTAAAACCCAAGATGTTCTTTGTAATTTGAGTTTAAAACTCATTTTTGTTATCCTTGGTGGTCTTTGTGTTTGTATGTTTTGTTTAAACTGTGGAAACTTTGGAAAAACTTGACACTTCTGAACATTTGATCTTACTCGAGGACGAGTAAAGAAACTAAGTGTGGGGGAGTTGATACGTTTGTAATTTCCATATGTATGTTTGTGTTTTTAATTAGTTTTGCTTGATCTTTACTTTGGAAATTACACACTTTTGGTGTAATAGTTTAGTTTGTTGAATTCTTATAAATAGTTTAGATTAGGTATATTCTGAGCTCAAACAGGTCTTGATCACTCAAAGGAGAATTGGTGTACCCCAAAAGTGGAAGGAAGGTGCAAAAATAAAAAAGAAAGAAGGATCCTGAAATTTTGGTCTATACTCGGTCGAGTATTACCTATACTCGATCGGGTATTAGGTTGAAACTTCAAATCGGATCAGATCCGAAGACAAGGGAACATGCCGGGAAGATTTCAGCCACAATTAAATGTCTATACCCGATCGGGTAGACCGACATACCCGATCGGGTATGCCTTTGAGTTTTAAACGAAAATCGGCCGAGTATGGCTCGAATATCACTTTCTAAGCATACTCGACCGGGTATAAACATATACCCGATCGGGTATACCTTTGGAAAATAGCCTGAAACCGATCGAGTATACCTCGAATCGGGTATTACACACATACTCGATCGGGTACCATGTATATACCCGATCGAGTACCCGAATCCCATCCCAAAAGCCTATAAATACACCCCCTTTCCTTCACAAATGATCATCCAATTCTTTTGTACATCCAAGCTCAGTATAGAATAGTTCTTTCTTTATATTTTTCATCATGTTTAGTCTCCAAATGAGGAGCTAAACTCTTCCATCTTGGTTTTGCTACTTTGAAGCTTAATGAATTTGTAAGTTGTGAGTTATTTTCTTTAATCTTCTTCCTTGAGTATTAATTAATTCCTATTCATATTTCATGTCATTATTTTAAACATTACTTAAAGTATCAACTAGTTTTGTTTCTCATATTAATTATTACTAGAATCAATCGGTTAATACGCTTGTTATTAATCCGGTTCTTTCAACGGTAGTAAACTTGGATTATTAATGCATGCATCTCATGGTTAATATGCCAAGGGGAATTAATTATATTGATTAAACCAATAAACCGTTTGTGTTGAGGTTATCAATCTCAATCGTTTTCATCTTAAGTTTATTGCTACTATCAAGTTAATATACGGCGCTTGTTCTATATTGACTCGATAGTAAGTTTTATTAATGAACGCATCTCGTTATTAATAACTACCCTCGATGAACTGGATATACTCCTCGATTGAGTATTCGAGAGGAAGATACTCCTCGATTAATAACTACGTATTAGTGTTGTATTGATAAATTATTTTGAGTGCACCTCACGACAAGGGCACGTCAATTACCTAAAGTAATAAAATGTGATTTTCATGGATTATTAATGATTAATAATGCCTAATGAAAATGCTATTGTTATGAGGAAATGGAGCATGATATACAAATTTGGAAGAAATTGTGTATGATTATGTGATATGAAATTGATGACATGATAATGGAATTAGCTATAAAAATATTGTGATAAAATATATTTTTACTTCATGTATAGAATTCATGAATGGATAAAGGTGATATTTTTGATATTAAGATTTAATTGTATTTGGATTGGAAAATCAATTGAAATGAAATGTTGATTATGAATTAAGAACTTGGTTGTTCTAAGATTATCCGACTAGTATTGAAATACTAGTCGGGAGATTAAAATAAATAAATGATGGATATAATCCTAAGAGATAGGATTGTGAATAGAGATGCCTTAAGTAGTCTTAAGAGATACTTGAAGGTCGAAATGTATGAGCTCTAAGATATGTTAGGAGTGGGCCTTAAAGGCTACTCAAGGTAAATTGATTCTAGGCATAGAATTGGCTTAGGAATCAAATAGATTGATTAAGAGTGGGGCTCTAGCCTAATGTGGATGACTAAGAGCGAGGCTCTAACATAAATGTGGATTGACTAAGAGCGAGGCTCTAGCCAAATGTAGTTGACTAAGAGCGAGGCTCTAGCACACATGTAGATTGACTAAGAGCGAGGCTCTAGCACACATGTAGATTGACTAAGAGCGAGCCTCTAGCACAAATGTAGATTGACTAGGAGCGAGGTTCTAGCCTAGTGTAGATTGACTAAGAGCGAGGCTCTAGCATGACGTAGAATGACTAAGAGCGAGACTCTAGCATAACGTAGAATTACTAAGAGCAAGGCTATAGCAAAACGTAGAGCGACTAAGAGCGAGGCTCTAGCACGACGTAGGATGACTAAGAGCGAGGCTCTAGCACGGTATAATAATAAGATTGAGCGAGGCTCCAAGATGACAAATTAATGAAATTGAGAAATGACCCTTGACGGTAAAAGTAACTTACTGAAAGTTATGACAATCGTGACTAATAGTCACGGGGAAACAGGGGTGGACGTTTCAAAATGAATACGGTCCACGGGCTGACTACTTGACTTTATACACAAAGTAAGTACATTTTCAAACAGGGTAACCGAGGGTTATGGCCAATAATATCATTGTACTAGATTGAGGGTTATGATATAATATCATCCTAGATTGAGGGTCTTAGAAATTGAAACGTTGATTATACTTAGTATAGTTGTCATTGTACTTGTCAAATGCTTCCAAGTACTGACCTCCCCTTCACGGGGGAGGCCACCTCAAAGTTTCAGGTAGAAGTTGAGCTTGCTACCAGTGCTCGTTGCTTCGGGAAGATCTAGGAGAGAAGACATGGTTCGTGCTTCCTCCGTTTCTGTTTCAAAAACAATTATAATAATGCTCATGGATATTATTTTCAGAATAATTATTTTTGGGGGCTTGTATGCCTAATTATGCAAAGTGTGGCTTGAACACTTGTATTAACTATTTCCGCTGCTTTAAATGAATGGTATTCAAGACGCCTTGTATAGTATGGATGAGTTGGACTGCGGTTGACTATTTGTATTGTACGGCGGGTTGTTGATGTGTCCGGGTAGGTCTGGGGCGTGACAAAGTCTAGCTAATAATGAATTCATATACTTACTTGAATACTTGAAATTGTATGACATGAGATTATGTGAACTCCAAAGTTGTATGTGTCTATGGACAAATGGTCTTAATTGTGGAGCCATTTATTTATGTGAAGGAAAGTGTTTAGAATATACGTTTAAGATTGTGCTCATGTGGAATGGAAATGAAAAGAAAGTTATGATGGTAATGAAAACTATTGAATGATTACATGTAAGATATTCATGTTCTATGTTTGATTTTGGTTTGGGTTCATATAGAACTAACGATGAAATGAAGATATGAGGATAATGATATACAAGGAATGATAAGTAATGTTTTAAGGTAGTCGTGCCCCCAAGTAACTACCTCAGCTGAGCGTAGCGGGAGAGCCTTCCGCGGGGAGTCTCGAGGTCATCGGTGAGGGGCCATGATACGAGCTACGGGCCCATAAAGTCAAGGAACAAGATGAGAAGAAAGAATGATGAACAAGGAAACCTCTTGGGGTTTGATATGTGAACGCTTATGTGTGTTATGGCGCATTTCATTTGTGATTATGATATATGTGTGGTGTATTAAGCATGGGTATCTATTTATGACTAGCTGAGATTCCTTAAATGTTTTTAGTGGATGAAATGGTGACTTATTAAGCATTATTGCTTACGAGAATTCTATTCTCTTATGTTCTCATGTATAGGTAATAAACGAAGTATGGAAGTCTGAGAGAATGTATGGAGCCGGTGACAAGGTTTTGGATGGGTTAACGGAGAAGATCTGGCTATGTACTATGTTTTACTTTTAGTACTTTGGTATTTCTACGAATTGTTAAATGCTTTTGAAATCCTGATCACGTGTAATAGTTTTAAAGATGTTTTTTATTTTGGATACCTTTTATTATGGTTATAACGTTGGATTATGAGTATAAGTTATAAAGTTTCATGAAGAGACTTTGTATCTTTATTTCCGCTTGGTTTATCGAGTCTCTTTTATGTTTGAGTATGGTCCGATAGGGGGGAGAAATTCCATCCAGTTCTTGATCATTCCATCTAGTTCCGCTTGGTTTATTTCCGCTTGATTTCTACTTTTCCAAAATTGCTCTTCCATTAACAACCTTGACCCGCAAAGGGAAGAAGTTCGAATGGACCGATAGATGTGAGGAAAGCTTTCAGAAGATTAAGGAGTGTTTGACTTCTGCACTCATTCTTGCATTACCTGAAGGAACACAAGAGTTTGTGATCTACTGTGATGCTTCCAAGATGGGGTTGGGAGTAGTTCTTAGGCAGAATGACAGAGTCATAGCATTTGCTTCTCGACAGCTAAAGGATTATGAGCAGAATTACCCAACTCATGACCTGGAATTGGCGGCAGTTACTCATGCTTTGAAAATTTGGAGACACTACCTCTATGGAGGGCAATTCAAGATCTATATTGATCATCAGAGCCTGAAGTATATTTTCACACAAAAAGAACTAAACATGAGGCAACGGAGGTGGATGGAACTGGTTAAGGACTATGACTGTGAAATCCTTTATCATCCAGGGAAAGCCAACAAAGTTGCTGATGCTTTGAGTATAAAGACTCATGCATCGATAGCCCTAATGAAGACCATACATCCTGAGCTATGATGTACTTGTATTTTACACACTTTTTAGGCTTAGTTTGTTGTTAATTTTAGTTATTAAAATTCTACTTTTGTACATATTTTTATAATTTGTCGTTAGTTTGTACTTGTGCAGTCCTACACGGGTATTTTGTATTTTCAGGTACTTTTGATGCTATTTGGATACATTAGAGTGAACAAAAGAAGAAAATAAAAGTTCAATTTTCTTCAAAACAAATAAGGAGTAAATTGAAGAAAAGAAGCAAAAATAAAAATGGTGGAGCTGGGATTCGATCCCTGGAGAAAGGGTACAAGAATGCCTACTACAACCAATGTGCTAAGTGATCAATGTTGTACATATTCAGCTGGCAATTGTTATATTCCTTCTGAACGCGGCAAAGAAAAGAAGAAAATGTTGAAGCCGAGAATCGATCCCACGATCTCCGAGTTTTCCACTAAAATGCTTGTCCAATGAGCTACCTACCACTGTTGAAACTTTACTGCGCTTTATTGTACATAAACTCATCTGTTCCGTAAATTCCAGCAATTAATGATTAATC